ATTTGAAGCTGATTTCTCCAAGTCTAAGAGATAGAATAACCGGGGGGGGGGAAGTCCCCCACAGCAAAAAATTTCTTTGGACATCTAAATTTGCCCCCCCCCCCAAAAAAAAATAATTTAAAAAATATAATTTTTTTATTTTATACAAATTAATAAACAAGTTGTGAAAACCTATATTCGTTATATTTTTTGTGTAGAAATCCAAGAAAATTTTAATAGGAATCATTAATTTACAATGTCTTTCTGTTGAAAGCATTACTAATTTTATTTTAAAGCAACTTAATGAATTAAATAGTAATTCATTGAATATTTTAAGCCAGACATGTGATACGCCATGTCTGACCTAAATGGATGAGTACAAACCCTGCTTCAAAAAAATTAATAAAAAGTGCCTTATATTCATTGCTACAACAGTGTGCAAAAAAACGGCTAACTCAATATTTTAGCCAGAAAAATGTTGCCCTCTTCAAGATTTCGCTAATAATTGCCACAGTCGAGTTTTGAAGATAGCACGAAAAACGGGAGGAATTTAAATAACAAAGGAGACTTTCGGAATTTACTTTGTTAAATATGGATTTGTACTCGTGTTGGTGGAACACGATAAATTTATTGTATTATAATTTTAAATTGTGTATTGTTGTATATAGTTAGTTAATAAAATATCTTCTATATTCTATGTATGGGTGTCTAACAAATCTTTCAATCAATGTTCCAACCTACAATAATGGTGCCGAATGTCAAGGGAATTCTTTTCATTCCAATATTCCCAAAGGTCTCTTTTCGACATGGAAACAAGAATATTGAACTGTTGGAGGATATAAAAGAAAGTAGTCTCGTAGACAGTAATTTTCTAGGAGGGGATAATTTTTTTTATATTGAAATGATATTACAAATTTATTAGGACTTATCATCATCATATAAAATTATTATAAGCAATCATATTTAAGAGCGAATATAATGTTAAAAAATATTATAGTTATGTAGGTAAATCAAGGGTAATGTATAGAATTAAACATTATAATATGATTTAAAAAGTTAATCAAAGTATGTTCATAATTGAAAATTTTCGATCGGGCCAATTTTTCAATAATTTGTTTTTGTATTGGGTTAATTCTAGATGCATATTAAGCAAAGCCAGTTTATTCAATAATTTTAAGGTGTCGTACTTTTGGGATAAGTTTTTATTCTCCGTAATGAAGAAAAAGCCTTCTCATTTATGCTTGGATTAATTAGAATTGTTCCACAATATACAGTAATTTTAATATATTTTTTTAAAAAATATGCATGTTCCGTTGCATTTCTTGGAGGATAATCTATTAAAATTAATCCATCATACAAAGATTTAAATTCTAAAATTAATTGGTCTGATGCATTCATATCCTCTAAAATTTTAGTATATATTTAATTTTTTCAATGTCAAGATTTAAATATATTATCAGAAGAATTTATAGGTAATAGTATTTGAAAATTGGATAGAACCAATTAACGGATCACAAGTCATTCATCGATTTGAGTCAAAAATGTATCTAAAAGTGGAATAAAAATGGATAGTAATCCTCAATTGACACGTTAATATTGGAACGATTTTTTAGTCTAGGTATGAGTCGAGGTTTGAGAATATATAATTTAGCCTCAACAACCACATAAATCTCGTGAAATTTTGGTAGATATTATCTTTTAGTTTTCTAAGTTGTATTATATAATAATATTCGCGAATAACCTCAGCTAAATCCATATCAGTATTTTAAAAATATTGGATAAAATTGCGGTGTAATTAAATAATTATTAATGCATTCCAAGTGCAAAAATAAATCGGCTATCATATTAAATATAATAATGTATCAGTTTCAGATAAAACAACTGGTTCAGGCCATTATGATATTTCTTCAAAAGCATTTAAAATAGGCTCTTCTAGATCCAAAAATGATGTAACAGCTTGATGTCGAAGGCTCCATCTTGTCCGGCATGCTTATTGCAGTCTTATCTTTTAGCACAATAAATATCAAAAATAATTTTATTCAGTAAAATCTATCTCTTTAGATATCTGGATATGTCATACACTTTATAAATTATGCCTAATCATAATTACTATTAGAAATAAATAAATAAATAGTTTATTTTTAGATAAAATGTTCTTATATCCATCAGTGTATAAATATGTAGAAATTAAGCCTAGGTAAGTGTCGGAATGAAGGAATATACATATAGAATATTCAATGTGATATGTGCTATAATGAAGCGGATACTTTGTGATAAATTTATTAATATTGTATGCTTCTTTGGTAAGTCTGTTAGATCAGAAGTGATTAGCCTAATTAGTCGTATTTTGATTGGATATGCCGAGGTTCTCTGTTCTACAAATTATGCCATTTTTTATTTTATTTTAAATAAAATAGCAATTATATACTCCTAGAAATGATTTATACAGCGTTTTACAAAGTTTGATACCTATTTACAGAGTTTTGCCATTTATTGAGAATTAGAAGGACCCTATAACGGCGTGTCCTTTAAGAATTTCTAAAAATAAATAGTTAAATGTCCAATTATAGTGTAATAAAGAGGAAAAAATAATTAGTTTAATCGTTTTCTCGTGGTGCTGAATGTCAATAAGGTTGATTATGAGGTGATGTATGCTAGCACTTTTATTGAACGACCTACGGATGTAATAATAAATTATGAATCTACTAACCCCTTTGCATGTCTAATTGCATCTGTTGATTCCACAGTCGCTCATAAAGCGTTTTTGATGGTATATTTACTAGCATTCTGAACAAGTTAGTCCTTTTCTTCTTTCGTCACTTTAAATATTTTTTTTTATTCGTGATTCATAAATACAAAGTAATATTTTTCAGTACCCCCAAAAAAAACTTTTGGTCTAAATTGACAAAAAAAAATACAGATAAAGAATAGTGTTGTATATGTATATTTGAAATATTAATTTATATAAAGACGTTTATAATGAAATATTAAATTATAGCATAGATTCCAACACGTGGAATGAGTGTTGTAAAAACACCATTTATAATTGTATCGATTTTCTGTTTGAATTTCATGATATATAATAAAAATTATATTAGATCATGATATATTTTTTTTTCAATTATAAATTTTGTTTCATTATTTTTGAAGATATCTAAAAAAGCTTTCAAATTTTTTTTACGAAGAAACTCGATAAAATCTTTGAAAGGTAATTATTAATATATTCAATAAGCTATTTAACAAGGGTAGTCATAAACGCGGGAGAGTTAGACAAGGTACTCTGTGTGATATTCTGTTTTACAGATGGGACTATCATTTTTATGGCTAGATGATATGCTTAAAAGGCAAATGGATTTCGTATCATATAGTGGTCATAGAATGCGGGAGATATATTGTGCAATATTACGATATAGACTGGTTTTCGTGATAATATTAAAAATAAAAGGATCTATTTCATCGATTCTGCATTATCAAACCACGATATTCATCAAAAATATGGAATGTTTATGTGCCCATTTGGCGCTATCTAAATTAGGATCATTTAGCGGATGCAAGGGCTGAAATCACCTCTAACCCTGCGGGATGGATATGCATAAATGGGGCTGTGCGTCACAAGCGGATATGGACTAAATCGGCAGATCGTCGAGAGCCCTGAGTCCATCCTATCTTTTTTCCCGTCCGGTCTTGATCGAGAATCCTTATTTTAGAAATGGGTTCGATCTTAATAAATTATTCGAAATAAATCGAATAATTTACTATTCGTATTGAACCGACTATATAACATTTACAATTTCAATTCGACAGGTATAATTTCGAATACTAAATTATTAAACTTCGTTCGAGTGAATAGAGTACAAATAACTCACTATTCAATTAGTATTCTTTATCGAATAGACCTGGCTCCGCCCATTTTTGACGATTTTTAAAAACAGCTCGATTAAGATTTTAGCCAAAATAATATAATGTAAGCCTTGAGATTTGGCAAACAGAGCTCTAAACCTTTCTGGCCGCCTATGAGCAAATTCTCCAGGCTTTACGTAACATTATTTAGGCTAAGATCTTAAATGGTTCTTAAAAATCGACCCAAATCGGGCCGTTTAAAAACAGCAGAGTTGTTAAAAGATACTTTTTAAATGGATCTAGATACAGATACATCGTCGAAAATAATATCTAGATACCGATATTTTATTCAAAAATCTATCTAGATACAGATACCACATTTTTATATCTAGATCCTTTAACAACTCTGAAAAACAGTATAGTGTTATACTAACGTTTATCCGATAGCAAATAAAAATAAAAATATCTTTTTTTGAAATAAAAAAATTAGCGAGTTTATAAATTAAAGATAAAAAAATCCTAAACTAATTTTCTTTGAATCGCCATAAAATTAAAGATGACAATTATAAATGTCCCATATATGTGGAAATAGAACCAGGGGTGTTTTTGGCAAATTCTTAAGACTTCAATCATTGGTAGCGCGCAATTTTTGAATTTTGAAAAAAATACTTATTTTTTACTGGATATCGTATTTCAGCCTTGTATAGAAATATATATGTACCTTGTAAATTTCATAGCAACTTCGTTCATAAATTCTTGTGTATTTATTAATTTGTCAGTTGAAAATTATAATGTTCTATCTAAAGGAATTATTTTAAATGGGAAATCTCAATGGAATAATACAAATAAATGGTTATTCTCGAATATATTTTAATATTTATTGTGGATATATAAAATTGCAGTACTGAAGAATGCATTTATCAAGATAAAAAGGCAAAATAAAGTGGATATAGACCATTATAATACTTCAACAGACGATAATATGGAAATTAATATATATTAAGGGATAGATTCAAAAATTATCTGATTTAATAAAAGATTTTACCATAATCATATTTTTATTTTTAAAAATTAACGCGCACCATAAATGTTTTAAGTGTTTTTTAAAGATTAAAAACCTATATTTGCGAAACCTCCCCCCCCCCCCCACAACCTATATCATATGTTACGTATTAATTTACTTCTAATATTTCGTCGCCGACCATGAGTTCTTTCTTAGCATCCTCCGAGTTTATCCCAACCACAAAGACGCTCAATTTATTCCTATCTTTATTTCCGGCCAAACAAATACCCAATCTTCCCTGCGTTCTGCGTAGTTCTACGATATGAATTTTCCCCGGGAGTTCATTGTATTTGTTTTGCAGCTTTTCTATTATATATAAGTGCCAAACAATATGAGAAATAAATAAGGTTTATTTTAATATAATTTATATATCACAAATTTTTTTCCTTCTTCTATTACTAAACACACAATTTAAAGTTTTGTTTCCTTCCATATCCCCAAAAATTGTTTCTCCCACATTCTCCCTAGGTTTCACATTCGTGACTGACGTGACACTTCTACCTTTTATAGGCCCAAGGAGTACCAGTATACCCCAGATCTTATTTGTCTGAGGGTCAGGTCGTGGAGTTATTTAACCAGAGAAAACCTGATATGCGACTGTGTTGTAACAAGACTATTTGCATCATTTCACCATCTTCAAGGGTGATATATACGAATAGGTCTCACCCTAATTGCTCCCTCTCATTTTTTGAAATTCGAGTAACCCCTCGTTCATAGCACGAATTATACAAAATACGCTGTATTAATTTCCCGTGAATTCCCGCAAACTATGAATGTGAGGTACCCTAAATTCACAGTTAACACGAATTTGCGGCGAAGTATACAAAATGTGTATTTTTGTATTCTCCACCGCGAATTCTCACAGGAGGTTGAAAAAAAAGGATTGGATTAAAAAAAGAAATTTATAAAACAAAAAATTTCAGGGGGAAAGTATATTCAGGATAAAGAGGGAACGTAAATGATCGTTGGGGGTTAAACCGATGAAGGCTCTACTCTAGTTGTACAGTACATTATATGCATGTGGCAGTCCCATTTGATAAAAAACTGAGGCTAGATCATAGGTCTAGATGAGATCAAAGTTAAAATTACGACCCCGCTGCCCATATTGAGAGATCGAGAAGGGGAGGCTACGTCAAAAAAATAGAAACGACGAAACGCTGCCCGTGATTAGATTAATAATAGAGGCCCAAGTTAGAGAAATCCAAGGATGGTGGGGCTGACGTGTATTACACCCGTGGAGTTAGTGACCCGATAGTCCCACCTACTACCATTAGTCAGATGGAGGCTAGGTGGTCTCCGCTCCGGGTAACTCTTCGTCTATAGGATTAAGGTCGATGTTTATAGAATAATTGATGGGGGGAGGGTGTCACGTCTCGTTGTCCTACGGAAGGATAACAACATAAGTCACCGAGGAAGTAAAAAAAAGGATTTTACAATTTAAAGATCCTACTTTTTCCTTAAATTAATATTTTACTGCAATTTACAACATATAGGCAACTTTTTTTAATAAACAAAAATAATAAATAAAAAATTTATTGGTTTTTTTTAAAATTTCTAGATTGAAATCGGATGATTTTTGAATGATTAAAAAATAAAATATATTCAAAATAAAAGGTTCAAAAGGATGTTATTTTTTTTTTCTTCCATATTTATGCAGAGTGTGAAATTTTTTTTAAAAAAAAATAAAATAAAAAAATAATTGAGTGAGAAGATAATTTATATATCTATTTAGAAAAAAAAAATTAATCAATAAAAATGCGTGGGCAAAAATATATTACATTCAAGAAATTATTTTGTACAAATTTATTACATTCCGGCGACGGTTATATTATTCGATAAAATCAAGATAAAAAATTATGTTTTTGAGGATTGTTTTGGAAAAAAAGGAAGCAAATCTTCTAAGTTTAAAACCCGGCCCGGCTCATCGTGTATCCGGTTCATGACGGGTCCTAAAATGGCATGATTTTAAATAAGTGGCCTGAATTTAAAAATAAAATCAAAACACGCATAAAATTATAGAAGTTACTTGTTAATGATTATGATTGTAGATTAGAGGTCGGCGCTCGCGAAAAAATTTTCTAACGGGAATTTTTGGCCCGGTTTGTAATAACTTCTTATGATAGAAAAAACATCATAAATTTGCCTAAATTATCAAGCTTTAAATAACATTTTAAACTTTGGCCTGGCCTTACGCCTAAAAAAATATTTTAAACAATATGTCCGGCCCGGTCCGAAAATTATTTTTGTCCCGGTTTAGGGTTTTGGGGTCGAGTTTTATAATAATAATTTTTATTTTTATTTCATAAATTGTTATTTATATTTAAAATTATTTTTAAAACAATATCTAAAATATAAAAGTCATATGTGCAAATGTCGTAATTCAGAAATTTGATTTAATGGATTCGTCGGATTTAAGAACGTACCTGGCAGTTCTTTGTACTTATTCGATTCTAGGCACCAAATCTCTAAGTATCATTTCACCCGAGCCATATAATAATCGTACATTGTAAAAATCGAAATCTGGACTAAGTAAAAAACTTGTCCCGGGAATTTGAGAAAATCGGAGTGGGGCGGAATTAAATATGGCAAAAAGTTTTAAAACCGGTTCGGATTTTAAAATTTGATCACAAATATATATATATTAAGTCAAACTTTTATATATTATTAAATGAAAAAATAATTTATGATTTAATTTTGTAAAAAATATATTCATTATTCGATAAATTTTATCAGACACAATTATGAGACGCATTTAATTATAAAATAAAATAACTTTTTTGTAACTATGGAGCCTTGGATCCTCTAGGGAAAATAATGTTTTTTTGGGGGAGAGGGATGAAGCTCCCATATAAAGCAGTGCAGTGGGTACAAAAAAAATTCACTGAAATAGTTAAGAATTCTAGAGATAGTATTTGTGGCATATTTTGTCAGATAAAAAAAATAAAAATATATGATAACGATTCGGATGATGCATTGATTGATTGACATGCAAAATATAGAAAATGTTTCTAATTTTAAGATTTATTAATGGCATTCGCATGAAAATTAATCCCCTATAGAAAAAAAATCTTTTAAAATGAACTTAATTGATATTTTAAATAAAATGTGGGACAAATTTTTATACCAAGAAAAGAGAATCGAATCCTGATAAATTTCCCATTTTTTTTTTATTTAATATATAATCCGACATTAGTCGCCATTTTAACTAAATTAATTGCGTAGAATTTATAAATAATTAATATATCTTTTTTTTGGGAGAGGGGTCACCAGCTCTCAGCTTCCTTCAATCAACGTGTCTATAATTTAAGTACAAAAAAAAATATATATATTAAAGTTAAAATATATATTTGTTTTAGTTCAATAATTTTTTGAGTACGATTTAAGCAGAAATGCATTTCAGCACGTTTAGCATAGCTGCCCGATAAATTTAACAATTTTGCCCTTAACTCTTTAGTTAAGGTTAAAGTTTATTTAAAAATTTTTTATGGGAAAATGAAATATAAAATCATATTAATTACAAAAATTAATGGCCAAAATTTTTTAAAAAAATCACAGATATATAAGTTTTCTTAAAATAATGCGCTAAAAAAAATGGATGGAAATACGACTTGTATTGCAAATAGTGATTTGCATCGGGTCTAATTTTTCAAGCCCGGCCCAAATTTTTTTAAAAAAAGTTTTGCCGGTCTGCCCGAACCCGAATTTTTTTTAAGTAATTTAAATATAGAAATTATTTATTTTTTTTTAAAATTATTATTATACCCAAAATAAAAGATATTATGTCATATGGCGTCTATTCTTTAAATAAAATTAAGTATTCTCATTTTACATAAAAAATTCAACATATATATTTAAAAAAATTTCCAAGGCCCGACCCGGTCCGAACCCGATTTTTTGCAGATTTCTAATTGCAAATCGATAATAATTTTTTGATAAAAAAAAACTTTTCAAAATATATTAAATTGAAAATAATATTTCATTCTCCTTTACGATTTAAGCGAAAAATAAATCTTTTTGCGACAAAAGGATCATTAAGTTGCTGAACAACTCCCCTCAGAAAGTTAAGGAGATTTTATAAAAGTTCTAACTCAAAATATTGGTCAAAACAAAATAATTTTTTTTTACCTATAAAATAATCATCCGTACACATTCTCTTAAGAAAATTGATCCTCTCCTGATATAAATGCGAATGTGAAAATTCTTATAAATTTTCATCTATTACGATAAAATGGATATGTTAGGAACGGGGAAAGGGAAAGAGAGTTAAATTAAGATTATTTTAATCATTTCATTTCATTTCATTTAATTTTTCTTTTTTTTTTGTATAAAAATAATGTAAAGATAATCTAATATAACAAATCTATATAAAATTAAAACGGCATAAAATGTTAAAGTTAAACTGAAGCAATTTATTTATTTTAAAAATATTATTTTGGTCTTATTAAAATGAAATGATAAAATAATATTTATAAATAAATAAATATAATTTATTTTTTAAAATAAAAAAACAGAGGAAAAAAAAGTTAAATAATGTATTTGTTTTTGTGGTCCCGTAAAAAATAATTATTTGAGAATTAGTTTTTACAATCTTCTAATATTAAATTTCACTTCGAAAAAATTTTTAAAGAGAAAAAAAAAACATAAGTTTACATATGTCTCGCGTTTTATATGTATTACATATATTAATAGAATAGAGGATATATTATGTAGATGGATAAGTTATAGATTGAATAAAATGTATGGTTAAAAGTATTTTAATTGATAAATTGATCTCTTAATTTCGCTCGTAAAAGTTTATTAGAGTTTGGTCTCTTGATCATATAGAAAATATAAGAATTGCTTTACAAAAATAAAATACTTCTTTATTTTATTAAACAAAAAATAAAAAAATAACATCAATGAATGAAGATCATAGAATCTAGTGTTGCTAAACGGCTCGTTTTGAACCGATTTTTATTTTAGCCAGAAAAATACTAAGCAAGTCTGAAGATTTTCCTCATAGAAGGAGCTTAAGTCTAGAGATATATTAAAATCTCGAGGCTTAGGCAATATTTTGGCTATGAGTTGCCGTTTAACAACACTAATAGAATCATTATAAGATTCAAAAAATATTGAATCGGGGAAAGAGAAACATTAATGTATTCAGAAATTGATTTTTGATTTGTAATATAAAATTTGATTTCGTTTATAACTGGGTGTTATTTTTTGGTTTAAAAAAAATGATCGATGAAACTAGTAATTACTAATCATGCATCATATATTGTTCATTGCTTTTATAATTTTCCTCCTAGGATGATGCCCATCTT